TTCCACAATGCATCAGGTACATCATTAAGACTATCAGGAATTACAAAATGAAGAATGTGACAAATGTCTGTTTTTTATGTATATCTTTCTCTATCACATTGGAGTAAATATGACTTTGGAGTAGCTGGAGATCAAAAGCAATTTAAAGTTAAAAAAAAAGGTATTACAGGGTGATTTTGAAGAAGTTCTGTTTCCTCAAATTTTCTATCATTCTCTATTGAAGCCAGTAAATGGCTTTCTGTGGTCTCTACCTTCTCTCCCAAAAGTTGAGTCTACAGTAACTTTGAGTTGCTTGAGTTTGGGTGTTAATATTATTCTGTAATTGAAAAAACAAAAAAGATACTTAATCTACACTTTTATGGGCCAAATGCAAACCATGTGAACCTTAAAAATACATATTTTCTTAAAAGATAAAATGAATAACTTCTTTAAGATCCATGTGTATATTTTTGTAGATGCCACAAATTGAAGACATTTAGAAAAAAGATGGAGGTTTCCCACTGCCAAAAAGTTCCCACTGCAAGATTTCAATATTGCAGTGCAAATGTGGACCAAAGTTGAGCTTGTTTTTATGCACTTCAGTAAGTCGACAGATACCATATTATTCAAGAAAGACATAGCTGCAGTTTATTGGGAAAGATAGCTAAGTTAGACTATTAGAGCTCTTTTAAGTGAAATTTTTAATGAAGAATAAGGTGACTTACAGTGAACTGTGATGGTTGTTGACGCAATCATACTTTTTTTGTCTATCAGGGAGCATTTATAGTCTCCTGTTGCATTGCGCCTCACATCTGTCAGTGTATAAGTATTTGAGCTTCTTATTCCTTCGGGCTGTCCCTTTGATAAAGGCAAAATATCAGATGATTACACTTGGTAGCTACAATAAGAACAGTTGCATTTCTTGATGAAAATGGCATTTTCTCAAACTAAAAAAAGGAATGTGTTTCTTTGATTGGAGAAATGAGTGCAATTTGTATTACCTGATTTCTGAAAATATAATTTAAATTGAGGAGATAATTTACATTGTATTGATGACCTCTATTTTATTGACAGCATGAATTATATATATATGTATATATATATATATAATTTCAGTATTTTCTTTTTATATTCATGCTTTGCCTAATTTGACAGAATGATTCAAGGCAACTTTTAAAAAATGCCATATATCCAAATAAAAAGGAGGAAGGAAGGAAGGAAAAAAGAAAGAAGAAAGAAAAGAAGGAGGCAAAAGAGAGAGAGGGGAAAAGAAATAATGAAAAAGAGAAAAATAGTTATGAACTAAAAATACAAAAATATAGACGGACTAGAAATATATGTTAACAAAAAAAGATAATCACAGATATGGTTTATAAAACTAAGACACAAATTTGGCTCTGTCATCTCTGATAACCAAGGAAGAAACATAACTAGTTTCAAAATTTCACTTGCACATGAGACAATCTGTCAATTTATTAGGAGAAACAAAGTTGTCTGTCTACATTTATAATCTTACGGTCTAAAAGAAATTACTTGTATTACTCAGTAATATAGTGGATGACATATGTAAACATATTCCTGCAGTAAAAAATGCATATAGAGTTATACATAGCTTCTCTCAATGGAAGGTTATGTCAAACAGAAACCCAGAAGAATTGTGGGAGAGCAAACGAATGTCCTCAGATGAGATCTCTGCTAGTCTGGCTCCATACCACTATGGAACCTAGAACCCACCCAAAGGAATTTTCCAAATTATCCTCTATACATATCATTTCTTTCAGTTATGATACTGATAAGAGTTGAAGAACTGGTGCTTCAAGACTATATACAATGGCAAGATATAGCCCACAGCTTTAGTCTATCAAGCAGAATATAATGTACCACAGAACTGTACCTACATCAGAGGTTCACAGGCGTATTGAGGTAGGTATGACAGGGAGATTCAGACCATTTGCTGCCATCACTTTTCCTTTTACAGATATCTGCTTCTGAAGAGCTGATTTTTATAGTTTATTTAGACAATGAAATAATGAGTTTTTGTAATTATGGTTTCCTGTGATCAACTTTTTCCTTATTTTGTCCCTGAAATCTCTTAACATTGAGAAAAAAGGCAAGAACATTGGCACATGCTAGAAAAGCTTTCAATGGACGTCCTACAGGTGTCCCTTGACCCCAAGAATAATATCCGTTTGTCATTTAAGCTGCCCAAGTACATACAATCCTTGATGTCAGGCAGCTGCCAAGCAAGACAAAATGACAATAGTTTAGCTCAAGTAATAATCTTTAAGTACTTACTGGTAAGTAAAACAAAAACTCCTCGGGAGGAGGGTTACCATTTCCCAAACATTTAAGAGTAATATTGTCCCCTTCTTTGATGGCATTTTTTGGTGGCAGCACTTGAATTGTCACCTGCTCTGTAGGATCTGAAAGAGTCATAGATATGAGTTAACTATTTTCGTCAAGTCCCAAATTACTCTGTACATACAATGCAAATGACTAAATTATACACAATTTTCTCAAGAAACTGGTAATGGTAATTACTTAAATATATCTTTTTATAAAAGGATTGAAGTTAATAGCTACTTTCTATACCAAGTACTAATCTTGGTTGGAGCAAAATACAAAGAGACTCTGTTACATAAAAATCAATTTCTACTTAGCAAAATGTCTTTAACTAAAGTAGGAATGACCATGATTATTTTATGGGTAAAAAACTAGTAGGAACAATCTCACTATATGATTTCATTGAAATGACATTTAACTATATTATATAAATCTCTACAGTTTGGAGAGACTGGATCAGCTAGCAAAGTAGCTAATGCTATTAGGCACCCCTGCACTCTATTACATAATACCTTATATTAAATAAAAAGCGACATGAGCTGAATAACACCAGCAAGATTTTTGGCATGCAGGAGAGTAGATCTGCTTTCAAAAAAGATGAATCCTGTGAGCCAAGGGAGACCCTTAACACAATCAACAGGACTGTAAATGTATTGTAATTCTGTTTCGTTCATTGGAACCAAGATGTAACTTTTATTCCATTTTGGTCATTTTTATGGAGAAAATAGGGCCAAGGGGTATTCTTTAGTAGAGGCTACTGCTCAACAGTAGAATGCTAAATAAATTAAAGACAGGATACGGTAGATTATATCTAGCTAACAGGAAAAAAAAGGAGATGGTGTTGGTAGTTATAAATCACCTGCTTTCTAACTTATCCACTTGTTATATAGCTGGATAATATAACAAAAAATGAATTTCAAAATCACATGATACAAAGGTTTATTTTAGAGGACCTTTACACAAGGCTTAGTAAGTACTGAGACATGTGTCTATATTTCCGAACTGGTAGTACTAAGTCTATGAAGGCTTATTTTGCTATTAGCTATAAAGTGAGATGAATAAGTGGTAGATTTGGAGACCTTTTTCTATCTCTTGCTGCCATTTATTTACATTTCTAAGATTAAAGTGCAGAAAGGAGCTTAGAAGAGTAGTTATAGATTGCTTTTTGCCTTTCCTTAATGCTTGGGCATCTCTGACTATTTGACTAGAATGTTCTGATGATAAACAGTGATTGGTTTAAAATATTTCTTATTAGTTTTTCTTAATATGCTTGTAGTAGTTCCCTGACCAGCAGTTCCCAGTAAAGTTGGAAAGTAAATAAGTTTGTTTTTGATCACCCACTGACCTTCCATCCTAGGCCTTTCTCACACTTGCATGTGGCCCTCCTCTGACGAGTTTTGGCCTGTCACACATTACCGTGTCACATCTCTCCAATCAAAGATGACAGCAGAATAGCTAGAAATCACAATATGTCTGACTTCTTGCTCTATTTCAAAACTTCCTTTCTCTCTGTTCCCTCCTCAATAGGCTCTGCTCTGTATTACAGAGTTGGAGAAGTAAACTGAGATCAGCAGGTTAATGTAACACATTTGATTTTTCACAGTAACTTTCTAGATGTCCACTACCATGTCTCAAACAAAATTAATGATATCTTACTCATCTTTATCTCCTGACTTTGAATTTTACTCTATTAGTAAAACATCATTCTGCCAGTTACTCTTGCTTTCTCTTTCGTCCTCTCTTATCCACTCAGTCGCCCAGTCTTAATAATTAATACTTAATATTTGCATCTGATTCTCCCCTTCTATTTCCATAAACACTTCCTTAGTCCAGGCTCTAATTAACCTACACCTGAAACAGTGCCACCAAATTTCATTCAGGCCCTCACCTTGAACTTTTGTCTTTTTTACTTCATATATATATTTTGATATATATATATGAAGTAAAAAGTATATATATATATCATATATATACTTAAAAACTGTTTTTAAGTAGCGCTTTGACTATTATTACAATGATAAAACCCTATATGTATTCTCAATCTTTACATAAAGATTTAAATAAATATTTCTTAACCTGGCATCTACAATTGGCTTGAATCTAGATCTAGTGAGAATTTTCCACCTCACTGCTCTATATATACCCCTACATAATAAAAGAGTCTACTCAAATTTTCTTCCTCCCATCTTTCCAATTATTCTTCTGTCCCATCATTTATTCATTTGCTAACTAATAGTTATTTTTTGCAGGTACTATGTATAAAGTTATAAAGTTAAAAATAACATAGTCCCTGCTTTCAATGAATTTTCAATCTATTTATGAGAGCAAACTTAACACTTAAGACTATAACAAGGTAAATACTGAATATGATTTAAGCATAGGTACCACTGGTAGCTTAGAGATGCATGAGATTGGGAAGCTTCCAGTAGGAATTGACCGTGGAGCTGGGATATGAAGACTAAGTAGGTGTTTACTAAATGATAAAGGTGAGGTAGTAACAGCATATAGCTGGGCATGTGAGCGGTATTTTACAGGAGGAAACTGGAAAACAGAACAGGCTATGGTAGGTGCAGTGAAGTGATGAAGGTTCAGACATAATACAGGATCACATCTATAGGGAAATCAGGGCATATTAAAATCTATTGGGAGTGTGAAGATTAATCTCAGAGATCTTAGGTGTCATTGAAGAATTTTAATCATAGCAGTGACATGGTCACATTTGTGTTTAAGAAAGACATTTCTGGTAGCAGTTTGGAATTAATAGACAGGAGGAATACTTTTTAGAAAATTGTCACAGACAGGCAGGCCATGAAGAACGGTGGCATAATCTTAGGCAGCATCGAGGCAGAAATCAGATAAACAAAAAGATTAAAAAGCTAGATTCCATAAAAATTCATTACTGACAGAATAGGTAAGAAATGAGTGGACTAGTGCATCTTTCTCAGGCTTAATTAAGAAGAATTTATCAAATTTATTTTTTAATTAAATTTATTGGGCTGACATTGGTTAATAAAATTATGTTTCAAGTGTACAATTCTATAATACATCATTTGTATATTGCATTGTGTGTTCACCATCCAAAGTCAAATCTCCTGTTACCATTTATCTGACCCCCTTTACATTTTTCCACCTTCATCCCTCTCTCCTTTTCCTCAGTTTAGACAACCACTAAACTGTTGTCTGTGTCTATGGGTTTTTGCTTGTTTGTCTTGTTCATCTGTTGCTTTCGGTTTTTTATCCCACACTTGAATGGAATCAGATGGTTCTCAGCTTTTTCTGTGACGTATTTCACTTAGCACGATAGCAAATTTCTTTTTCTTGAATGTACTCTTTGTCCTTTCCACTTCACGCTAGAGTAGTGGTTCTCCAAGTGTAGACCTCAGATCAGCAGCATTAGCATCACCAGGGAATTTGTTATAAATGCAAAGTGTTGGGCCCCTCTCTGCACATTCTAGATGAGAAACTAGAGTAGGGTCCAGCAATCTGAAGTGATGTAACAAGTCCTTCAGGTGATTCTGATGTACACTAAAGTTTGACAATTACTGTCCTTGGGCACCTGATCTTTTAGGGCTGTTTACCGAGTTCCTGTGACACTTACCACTTGCAACTTTGCATTGACAATTTCTTTCTGATGTAGGTGTCTTATTTCTCTGTTGGAGCAGCAAATTCTCTAAATGTCAGGACTATGTCTTAAACGCTTTTTTGTCTTTACTATGAAGCCCAGCACTGAATACATCATGCCTTCTCAAAAGCTGTGCCATATGCACTCCATATAGGCAGTGAGAGTAAAATCATTTCCTTCAATAAGACCAAAAACTTTTCTGCTCACCCAACCCCCATGCCCGACATACATCTACATTCTTGTTCTTTCTTCAGTCAATTTTCCATTCTTTGTTACTCATCTTGATGTTCTTTCCTATCTTGTACTCCTGCACTTACACACCAAGATAGTATATGTCCAATTGAATATTTTTGAACAGACAGAATTCTTCCTTTATTTACAGAAATAATAGTTTGATTTTAGATAACTGTACATGATGAAATCCAAGCAATCCTCACTTTTAAACCAAGCTGAAATGTATTTACAAAGTAAAAGGTTAAATGACCCTTCATTATTAGGGCAGGGAGAATTTCAGTTTTGTTCTTTAATAAGGTTCCATACTTTATGGAACCAAAATAAAAAAAAAACAGATGAGATAAAACCCTCTGAAGGCTCTACTGGAATTTATGCTCTTTTTCCAGGATAGATGTATAAGTGCTAGGTTATTCTACAACATATGTCAGTATTACAAAAATTTTTTGTTCATTTTTTAAATAATAAAATTCTTTCTTGCATTTTTCACAAAAAAAGATATCTATCTCAATGCTTATGTAGTAATAATGATCATTTACTAATAATGACAATAGTATTTAATAATGAACTTTTAATGTGTAATACAGTGTACTATTTTAAATTTGTGATTTCACTTAATCTCCATAATGACACTATGCGTTATTATATTTTTCCCATTTTGAGATTAGAAAACTGACACCTAAAAGTATTTATGCTACTTTTCTAGAAACACACAGTAATTTACAGGGCTAAGACTGGATTGATAGCATGTTTGCTCTTAATCATTAGATTATATTGGCATCTGTTTTACTGAAAAGAGCACAGCATTGGAGAAAAAGTTCTAATCTAGTCTCTACAGCTAATTTAGGGCAAGTTTCAGGACCTCACTTTACTGCTAAGTAAAATAATGGAGTCGGATTGGAAAATCAAGAAGATTCCTTTGTAGTCTACTATTTTATGTTTCAAATCTATGAAGTAAAGTTAACAAAACATTTTGGAATACAACATCCTATTTAACTTGTGCAATTGATCTCATTAATAAAATAAATCTCTCCATTAGAATGGAAGTTCCTTATCTAGAAGACATAAGCCTCTACTCATCTGTCATTCATTCAGAAAACCATCAGATAGCATTCTGAACACCTGTAAAATTCATGACTGTATGCTGGGCCTGAGGACTACTGGAAGGGATAAGATCTTGTCTTTAAGGAACTTAGTGTCTAGCAGAATACAGAAAAAAATGCTCATAAATAACAAAGCAGAGAGTGAAAGATATCACACGAGACATGCAAACCTTTATTTTACAAGTCTTTTAATGAGGAAGAGATTATTTTAGTGCTATGATTATTTTAGTGCTATTTTAGTGGAATGAGGGTGGGGTGGGAGTTTGGAAGTAGTATCCAAAGAGCATTTGGATAGGGATTTAAAAGATTGGTAAGCATTTGAATATTCTTTATGATGCATTAAAATCGCACAATTATATGTTGAATTACTTACAGTAAATATCAAAGACTGCTTGTTCAGAATGAACTGTTTTCTGTCCAGACGGTCCATAATATGACACAGAGCAGGTGAATGGCATTTTTATGTCAGCCTTGGTTGTTTTGTACTCCAGAGATGAAGTCATGGTATAGAGCTGAGTTACTGGGTCCATTTTCTTTGTAAAAATTATGACCACCTCTGAAGAAAATAAAGAACACTATTGATAGAATCTTTCATTAGAAAAATCACAATTCTTAATTAAATGTCACAACACCTTTGACAAGTGGTTTTGTCCTTCTCACTGTATTTAATAGGAGGGGAAATTGACATTTAATGAGGCAAGATGTCTTTTCAAAATCATGAATCAGTGACAAAGACAGAAATAGAATCATCAAATCTTATTTCCCACTCACTTAATTAGCTTCTAGAACATGCCATAGACAGAAATAATTTTCCCCATTCTTGATTCTTCTGCACAAGGGTTAAAATAGTGTTTTAAAATAATCACTTAATGATTTAATAGCTACTTAAAGTAACAAAGCATAGAGTCATAGATCAAAAGAGGGCAACATATTTAGAAGCAGGATAGTCTAAGGAATCCCTAGACAAGAAAAAGTCAAAACAGGTCATCTGAATTTATTACCCACTTTACCCACCTCCTTCAAGGGATTGCAGCACCTTTCCACCCCTGTACCATGTGATGTTGCCAGGGGGATAACTGTCTTTCGAAACACAGTCACCCAACTGCAAAACAAATAGGAAATGTTACTTCTTCGGTTTCATCAGGGGTTGTCAATTTGGAAGCCCAGAATGCTGGGGGGCCGGGGTGGGGGCAGTTAGAATTACTCCAAAGAGTTCCTGACCCATTCATTTTCCAAGCACTGACTAAGGACTGAATAAATGCTCATTTGTATATAAAAAAATGTCTTATACATTTTAAAATACATAATAGATGCTGCAAATATTAATAAAACCACATTTATTTAAAAGCATTATCAAATTCATTTTGACATTATTCATTTTTAACATTAACTAGATAACATAATTATATTAACATTGGCTATTACCATGGTTCACAGATCTATGTGTGCAAGAATCATTAACAGTGTTAAAGTATGGCTCTGCCTCTCTAGTTTCATACTACATATATTTCAGATGACGGTACATATACTTATCATGATCTCTAATCCCCACCACTTTTCTTCAAATGTGTTTTAACTTTAATATTTAGTGTTTATCAAATAATATTATGTAGTAAAATTTGATCTCATTCAAAAAATCCCAGACTTGCAAATCCCTCCCCCACCCCCCCAAAAAAGGAAAATGGAGGTATCTTGGCTAGTGAAAATGTGATTATTAGCCTACTGCTGTGCCCAAATATGGAATTCCAGTTTTGTCCTTCCTACAATGCCGCCTCCTTGCAAACCTCTGCTAATATGATCTTTCAAATCTGATCTTCTCACAGCATTACTTCAAGTTTTCAATAGCAGAATTTGTCAAAAGAATAAAGTCCAAATTCCCCACATAACATTTAAGGCTTGTCACAATCCAGCCTCTTTTTACCTCTCCAGATTTATATCTCGCTGCACTCTCTTGCTCATTGTCTTAGAACCCGAAGTTCCAGCAATGCCAATAACTTAATGTTACCCCAAAATGTTATTCTCTTTCACATCATATTACTTCAAATTATTGGGAAGCTTTTTCTACCTTTGATCTGGAGAAAAGCTACTCATCTTTCATAATTCCATTAAACGTTCAGCTCATTAAAACAAGAAAGAATTATGCATTTTTGTTATTCTCTCTTCTACCTTCAGAAATGGCATCACCTTCCTCCGCGTCCCCACTCTGCCAGTCAGTCTTTCTGACTGGCACCTGCAACACTGCCAGCTATACGAAGAAAAGTCTACCTTATTTGTCCCAGCACTGGAGGCCAGGAGAAGGCATTTTAATACTAAGCTAGATAAAAAAAATTAATAAAAAAAAAGTTCTTACCTTTTTTAGTTGCTCTGTTTCAAGAAATGGTGCTTTGCTTACAATTTCCGGTTTAGATGGTTGCTCTAAGGTAGAGAAAGGTTTTAAGCATGGATGGAAGACTAAAAGGATGTTGTGATTTCACTTATAGAACAATAATTCATTTACTCAAAGTAGGAAAATCAAGCAATAAAATATAGAATGGATTTCCAATATAATATGTAATTAAGAAATCTAGTTAGTCTACCTTCTTTGAATATTTGCTTTATTATCTTAAATACTATTTTAAATGCTTATAACTCCTTTGAATAAAATATCAATAATGTTTGGATGTTTTATAAACAATGAATATGGATTTGATACTGAAACAGAGGTTAATGTACTAACTGAGATGTATTATCTCCAACTGATTACCATATCCACTTATCAATTGCTTCCAACTCCTTAGGTAAAGACTTCTATCCACATGAATTAGAATCACAAGGGTATTGTTTAAAATGCGGATTCCTGAGCCCTACATGAATAAGAATCTCTGGAGGGAAAATCTGATAAATCTACATTTTAAACAAGTTCCATAGGGGATTCTTGGGCACAATATAGTCTAAGAATCATTGTTCTAAAATCATGAGAAATACAAAGTTAGTCTAGGGATGCAGAAGCCTAAGTTTCCTACGTAACTCATTTCTTACCTTTAAGTGAAGTCACATTACGAAACTATAAATGTGGGGAAATCTTTCAAATTTGGAATCTGAGATAATGAACAGAAGTATTTTAAATATAGGAAATTCTGTAAGCATAAATTCTAATAGAGGCTTCAGAGTTGAAAAATTTAGCAACAATGTATTATTTAAACTTATTTAAAATTATTTTATTCTTAGCTGCTAGTTTTCTATCATTTATGAATTTTTTTTTAACTTTTTAATTAGCTCTAACAATTAGTCTACACAAAATGGGTATTGCCTCATTGGCATCGATTTTTGTGTCGCATGGAGCAGAATTATTTTACTCTCATATAAACAGGCAATTAAAAACGATGGGTGGCGAACACAAATGCAATATATATACGTCTTACTATTGAATTGTACACCTGAAACTTACTGGATATCATTAACTAATGTCATCATAATAAAAAAAAAATAAAATACAAATATAAAAATATAAAAAAAGAAAGATAAAAACAACCAGCCATTCTTTCTTTCATAGTCTTATTGTTTACCATCTCCAATACTTATAATTTTGATTACCAAACTAAACTAAATCGGCTTTTGCATAATTATTACTCAATTTGAAATTCAGTTATCAGAAATATTATCTACCTAGACCATTTCGGAAAACAAAGATGGAGACCAAAAGTCTTTAAAGTAGCAATATGAATTATCACCAAGATTATATGCAAAAAAATGTAACCTTCTTCAGGTTAATAATGAGAGTTAATTTCCCCTTTGCAATTATGTTTATATATTACAAATTAGAATAATAAATAATAATAACACATCTGTCTATGTGTGGAACTCATGTGCTTTAATTATAGGAGAGCCTATTTACTATTAATTCTAGAAATATAATTCTCCTAATACAATTTTCATGAGAGTGATTATCTATTTTTTAACTACATAGATTAGAAACAAAACACAAAAAAAGATAGAAAAATTCAAAAAGGAAATATGGAAGACTAGAAAGGTGTTACAGGGGCGATTACATTAGCACAAATAAGAACTGACATCTAATCACCTGACTGTTAGGAATGTGAACAAAAGACATAAAAAACTGACAAAAAGTCCTCGAAATAAACAGCAGTTTCTGGGAAACATATGGTGGGGGGATTAAAGCCTTCCATATACCAGTCAGCCTTGATGTTATCACTATTTTAATGTAATGTCATCATTATTCATAATCACAACTCTGAGTGGAGTTATTGCTAAAACCTTAAATTCTGTTCAGAATTTATGTTTTAAGGTGAATGTCTAATACATTTGAGAGAGGGCTGCAAACAATATATATAAACATAATGAAAATTCTTGGGGCTTAGGTAGGTAAGCCAAACTCCTCTGAGAACTAAAATCAGTTATTTAGTAAGTCCTCTCTGAAAGCTGGAGAGAGGTAAGATATTAAATTAATATATGTGGTCAATCAAAATTAACAAGAAAAAAAGTACAAATTTTTTTCATGTCTTCTTCAGTAGTATTTATGCCTGGAATACATGGAGAGATTTGAAAAATCCTCTGGAAAAAAATGGAGGCTCTTAATATAAAATGTAGGTGGGTAATTTAGCTAAGTCACAGTACTTTCTAGTTCACCAAAATCATATACCTGAACAGTTGGGCACATACTTCCTTTTATGTAGAATATATTTCTTTCCTTTGCTTATAAACCTCATGATGTTTTACCAATGTATATGTGATCATAAATACTTGGTGTGTTACAATTGTTGATCCTTTACATATAGCCAGATATACTTTGCTCCCATGAATATATTCTAAAATTTATTCTTATTTCAATAAAATGAAACTGTAGCAAAACCAGGTAAACCTGATAAAAGGATGCTTAAAGTTTAGTCCTCTTTACACTGTAAGTCATCTTTTCTATTTGGAAGAGAGAGTCACAGTGAGTATTGTGGAAGAGAGAGTCGCAGTGGGTATTGTGCATTTCTTTGAGTTATTTTCTCCTTAAACTTTTGTTTCAAACCCTCTATATTAACTATATATCCTGCATGTAATTTTCTTTTATATTAGCTTGTAACAATCGATGAGTATTAGTTGGAGGACCATAAAAGAGGACATGTACTATTTTAGTAAAATTGCATATTGATTCCCAAGTGTTTTAAAAAAATCTTTACATGAATTATGTTTTAATATGATTCATGGATTCATAACCAAGTTTAGAATAGAAAGGAAAAGTCATGCCCGAATTTATTTGCATTATTAAAATAATTTTGTCAAAGGTCTCCTAGCCAGGTGAGGATGGAATGATGAATGCAAAATTGATCTATATCACCACAAGGTACTGTGTGATTATCAAAAACCACACATGGGATGGCTCAATTTAATATGGGAGGAGAGCAGAAAAGGCAGGTGCACTGTTACATTGAGTCAAGAGTGTTTCTCTCAGTACTTAGTCAGCAATCACCCTTCATAAATCTCGATGTACTTTAAGTAAACAATTGTGAGCATGGAATCAGTTTATTTTTCTCATGAGATAGAAAAGGTATTTATATAAGGTAAATATATAATATTTAAAGGATCAAAATGAAATATATAGTGTAGGTTTCATTTGTTAAATAGGTCATTTCCTGCTTCCTCCATTGCCCCCTCTCCCCCCAAAATACTTGCAGGTTGATTAACTTTCATGGGGAGATTGAGAGGAGGAATGCTTAATTTTGATAAAGCACTGATAACAATATCCAAATGAAAGCTCTAAAATAATTGCATGAAACAAACCAGCACTGCTCATCACTAAGGGAAGAACTGGGCTAGGTATACACGAAACTCGATATCTTGGGAACAGTCTTCCTGTTAACACCTCAGACACCAGAGTACAAGACAGTGGACAGATTAGCCTGGTTGGTAGTTTTTAAATGCTTTTGTAGAGCTGGAGCTCTTCTGCTTTGCCCTTCTACCCCCACACCCTTTTGCTTTTACCTGAACAAATCATCATCAAAAAACTTTGAAATTTGAGTAGGTAGAATTCTATCTAGTCCCACAGAAATGCGTCCTCACCTCCTTAGCTCTCTTCATTAGCTCCTCAAGTGGAATCAAAGAACACAGTGGGAAAACTGCCATCTAATTAAAAAAATCCATTTTACTGATGAGGAGGGACTTGTAGCCCCATACTGGTGAAGTGACTTGCCTAAAGACAGATATTAGCAGCCAATCTAACAAAGCTAGGTCTCCTGATAGCTAGTGGAGTGATTTGTCCATCACACCACTGACAACCGTGTGGCAATCTGCACACCCATTTGACTTCTAAGACTTTTGCACAATGACTGGAATGAATCTTTGGGCACTTGTAAAGATCTACCCTTGATTTTGAATGGTTTTATTAACTTTGTACATTTAATGCAAATACAGTTTGATTCTGATGCTATTCAACTACAAAAAAAAACCATGGTAATAGTGGTGACAAAACATGTGATTTATTTGGATCTGGGCTGCTATATGGGCATGATTTCTTGTATCTGAGGTATAGGTTAAAACTAAACAAATAACCCTACATCAGAGGTAACAAAGTCATCAGTCATGGCTTCTAGTTTGAATAAAGACAATTTGACTTTGCCCATGAGGGTCACACTCTGCAGCAAGCTGATCTGGGATTAGATCACGTTAACCATACTCAGTTCTGTGGTACCACAGTGCATGTTGCTAGGTGATTAGACAGGAGGAAACAGAGGACTGATTGATGAGCCTAGTAACTCTTAAGTGACTGCAATATATACATGCAAAGAATGAAAGCCTCCCTGTCACAGCTGCTGTTTGCTTCATAAAAAGTGACCCAAAGTAAATTCATTATTTCTTAAAAAAAAAAAAAAAAGAAGCCCCGATATGCTCTTGTAAACACTCTCTTCATCATGAGCTGTGCTGTTCATTTGATTAGACTTGGAGTGTCCCACAGTTTCTAGTATAAAACGCCATTTTCAAGAGTGTGTAACTTGTCTATTTAAATTCTCCCTGGCCAAGAGCCTGGAATGCAAATGCTGTTTCTGAGAATCACTTTGTTTTTAACAACATTCAAAAGAGAAGGGGGTTGGGAGTGCTACGGTATGTGGGTGTCAGGTTGTTTTCGCAATCATAGAAATCCTCTGTATTCCAAAATATCTTACAAAGTTTATCTGATTAAACCAATTGCATTTTTTCAAATGTCTGTATGGCACTTTTTAGAAAGTATATTCTGAAAATTGCCAAAAATGGAACGACCTGGATTTTCTCAACTTTCTTGTACATTATCTTGGTATTTGTTAATTTTAACACAGTAAAAAAGAAACCCGACAATGACAAATCAATACATATAACCCTTAAGGTGCTGTGAGTTAATCTCTGTACCTAGTGTGGTACATTCTTCTTATGTGTTCATATTTATGACCTTATGCCTAATTAAAAAAAATTCGTTGCTATCTTTAGAAAAAGTATCCTTAGCAGTGCACAATCCATCTTTCTAATACCATTGAAGTGAGATAAAGGAAAAGAAAGAAAGAAAAAAAAATACATGGGACATTGACAAATACAAGATGAAGATTATCTGGGGTGTTTAATAGAAGGGAGTATGACTGACAAACCCCTGGTAGTTGGTCTGATTCCTAAAATTAATTGAGAAGGGTGGATGGTTTCTGGAAGGTGCCTCCTCAGTTGAAAGGCAATCAACTGAAACATGTAATATACTTTTACAAGGTTCTTCTAGAGAACAAAATTTTCCTTTGATAGTATAAGCACTCTTTGAATCCATGTCATGAGCCCATAGGAGCTTCGAAGTCCATATAAATACTTAAGGGACAGTCCTACTTAGTTGCATAGGCTAGTACAAGAGAAACAGAAAAAAAACAACTGTTACTTGCTGTAGTAGCAAGGACTTCTAAGTTTCTTTCTTTCTACTATTTTTAATAATTTTTAGGTGTTGTCATCAGAAAGCAGAGGGAAAAAAATTGAAAAGTGAGACCCTCTCTAATTAAAAAAGACTAGCATTCTGAAACTGTTGAGGATATTTTTCTCCCTATAATTTCTAAAATATTATGATATAACAAAGGTGGGACCTTTTATTTGAATATTGAAAGATAAAATGCTTTAATTAGAACTTCTTGAGCCTTTCATTTGCCTAGCTGTTTGCACAGTAATATTAACTATATATTACCACTAGACAAAGCAATTTTGCCATAATGATTACAGTAATTACTCCAAGCTTCTTCTACACTTTTCTCATCTTCTAACCCTACTCTACTTGTTCCTCTTGTATTCCACATACACATTCAGGATGTGGTGAACTTTTTTATTTTAGGGCAATTTTATAAGCCAAGTAAACACTTTAAAGAACTAAATCAACAAGCATTGAGGTCAGGACATGTATGTGTATTTTAACTCAAAAGGCATTTATGTAAAAACTTATTATCAAAATAAAATATAATCTGGGCATATACAATTATGCCAAAAGCTTAGATTTCTAAATCACAAGATAGTTTGGATTTTCCTGTATTTTACTGATTTTAGATATAAAAATATCAATTTTATATGGTCCTGCCTAACATATGTATATGTGCATGACGTGCATAATTATGTGCATATATCGCGTATCTATGTATATATTGCAGAACATTTATTTATACATGTCAGTAAAAGTTAAAGATAACGTGCCAGTTTTCGCTTAGTAGTACTTCACATCACAGGAAATTTTACCCGGCAAAACAACACAGAATATTCTTTTAGTTCCTCACTCAAAAGTCCTATTTGAATTTCAGGGTTTTTTTGTTTTCCTCACTGACAGCATGCATGAGCAGAATGAAGATCGCTAGGAATCCTCTTATACAGATGCCTGCTGTGGAGACACTACAGAGAGTTCAATTTTTTTTCCTAAAGAACGTTTTCTAGCACCAGCCATCAATCCCACTTAGCAGTTATACTGCAGACTACTTACTGAACACCTTGACTATCGTAGGCGCCTCAAACACGTTGTCCTCAGTTACTAGCATGCACACAAATCTCTTTTTATCACTGATCCTTGCATTACTGATAGACAAAGTGTAGTTTTCTGAGAGGCTCAATCTGTCTTTGTATTCTGGTACATCGTCGTAATGCACACTTTTCTTTGTAGAGGATCTGAAGGCAATAAATACTGGGGAGCCATCGGCCTTTTCCTAAAAATTAAAATGATAATACATTTTAAAAATAAGCATATTCAGATGTTTCAGGATAATATACAGAATAACAACATTTCCTTGGCCATAGTCTTCCACCAATATTTACAGTTGTATACAAGAAGAATAATTTTGGATATAAGTCTTATATAAAATCTTTGGTTACAGAAAGCTGTAAGTTCTTTTACGGGTATCAGCTTAAATATGTGAAAAGGAAAGAACAAAGCTCTAGGAATCTGAGCTTTTCTTGCATCTGGAGGACAGAATTAGTGATTGTTTAGAAACTGATAGGGGCTAGGCTTATGTCTAATACAAAAGAAAAAATAGATGAAAACAGACAAATGTATAAAATGATATAAAGCAAAAACACACTTGAGTAGCATATACTCATTTGGCAATCCTGGGCAATTAATTATCTTTTACATATTCATTACTTTAATCCACATTCTTTAAATGTCTATACCTTTCAGTATCAGCCAAAACTGACACCGCTGGCCTTTACACATAACATGAGTCTTCATTGAGGATCAGTATTTGCCCTTGTGAAACAATCATGTCCATTAAGCAATAGAATCAGATTAATCACTGAAATCCACAGTTTTGCTATCTAAATCATAAAACTTAGCTCAAAATAAAATATAATCTGGGTATTCACAATTATGCTAAAGACACTGAGACATATAAATTCATTTCTTCCTCTGCTCCCATAAAAATTCTCTCACCTAATAAGCAATTTAATCTAAAATAGGGGCCAATCTCGCTTCTACTTACAAGACCTTCGAGAAAACAAAATACGGTAAAACATTTTCAAGTGCATGGCAAATTTCAAGTTACATTTTAGAAATTATTAATATTTATTACCATTCTCAATTAAATGTTTATGTCCCTACCAAATCCATATGTAGAACCCTAGCTCCCAGTGTGTTGGTATCTGGAAGTGGAGCCTTTGAGAGGTAATTAAGTTTAGATGAGGTCATGGCAATGGTGCCCTCACAATGGGATTAGTGCTCTTAAAAAGGGTAAGAGACATGAGAGCTCTCTCTCTCTCTTCAGAGAGCACAAAAAAGAGGTCACATGAGCACATAGCAAAATATCAGCTGTCTACAAATCAGGAGGACTCTCATCAAGAGCCCAATCTGCCAGCACCTTGATCTTGGACTTCTCAGCTTCCAAAACTGTGAAAAATAAATATCTGCTGTTTGTTTCCAGTCTACGGTATTTTGCTACTGCAGCCCATGCTAAGATAAGTAGTAAGCTAATCTTGGAGTTCAAAAGTTTTAGTTGGTTGAGTATCTGAGTACATCTATAATATTCACCTTAAATCCTTTAATTTTGTCACAGGTTTTCAATGCAACTCCTTGCCATAAATCATTTCTTATTAAGAGAAATATGTTATACCAGTACCTTAAATTACTGTGTTCATTCACTTATGCAATAAATAATAGTTATTAAATTTTGAGCACTTAACTATATGCCAGGAACTTTCTTTGGGCTTTCCATGCATTAATTGATTAATACTCATAATAACCTTATAAGTTAGAGTTACGATATTAGTGCTATTTACAGATGAGACAGTGGAGACAGTCTAGTTAAATAACTGACTATTGGTTAACTTACTTGTCCAAGGGCCCAGCTAGTGTATCTTAGCAGAGGCAAGACTGGATCTTGGCAGCCTGGCCTCATTGTGACTACCCTATACCACTCTTGATAGCCATCAGATGCACTTCTGTACCAGGCACTGAGGCAGATGCTGGTGAAGAGGTGGCAGTGGCAGGATGGAGGAGGGGTGCACGGGGAGCTAAGATCTCCATTCACTGGGAGATTACTGTGCAGTGA